GATCTAAGAAAGGAATTTTTCACTCTTGAGGGTAGTGAAGTGCTGAAACAGGTTGCCCAGAGAAGTTGTGGATGCCCCATTCCTGGAAGTGTTGAAGGCCAGCTCGGATGAGACTTTGAGCAACCTGGTGTAGTGGAAGATGTGTGTGCCTGTGGCAGGGGGGTTGGAACTGGATGATCTTTAAGATCCCTTCCAAACCAAACTGTTCTATGATTCTGTACTGAAGAGATGCAATGGGTAATAAAGATAAGGTAAATACTGGAACATGAAAAGCTGTAACTGCCAAGTGAAATAACTTCTCTGCAGTTCCTCTCGGTGCATTTTGGGGCTCAGCCTCAGGAGGGAGGTTTATGTAGCAGATAAATCTGATAGGGATTGTTCAGTATCATCTAGACCTTAAATCTGATCATAAAGTGATCAGGATTTCTGGCTTTTTCTGTGCAACTTCCTGAAGCAAATGCTTTGAGTTCAAGCAGAGTTCCAGGATGTTAATTTTATCTCTGTGAACTATTGTGTTTTTCTGGATAACTGTCTTAACGCAGTTGGGAAGTAACTTGTTTATCTTTCTGTTACATAAATGCATTTCCCTATTTAGACTAACCTATTTTCTGCTTTGTTTTTAAGTAACTTAATCTTGAAAGGTTAGATAAGGAGCAGGAGAAACAGGCCACTTACCTATGGTACCGACGTGCAGGCGTTCCAGTTGCTGCAGTCCTGGCTGCAGCGTTTGGAACAGGTGGTACCAATGGATGTCTGTTGTTGGTACTGATGTTTTCCATAGTCTTAAGACTAATAACCGAGTATGGATTGTGCTCCAGGTATGAAGTCAATGTACTTCCTGCGTACAGACTGTTTTAGGGAGTCTAGTAAGGCATGAGTGTGTGGTGAAGCCCAGGCCTTGGGCAGTGTTGGAGAAATACACCAACCTCTGATTGTTCTGTTGTCTTAGAAATAAATGAAAGTTGGGTTTGTTGTTTGTATTTTTAATAATAATCTGAATTAGTGATACCAGTGTTAGAAAACTAAGGTGGTCCTGATGTGGAAAGTGCATTTGTATTTGGAGTGGGGCCTTACAAACTATGTGAAATTGAGTTTGTATAATCCCAAATGAGATTTAACTATTTTTTTTCTTTTTCCTAAAGAGACAGCAATGTCAAGTTAGTCTTGCTGCAGTCTAGATTTAGCACCAGGAACTTGGAACACAAGCCCTGAATTGTTAAAACTGGATTGCATTTTCTTTTGGGAGGGAAGAGGGACTTCCCCATGTACGTGCTTGTGTGACTCTTCTCAGTTAAACACACCAAAATACATCTGGGGGTTACTACACCCTGCAGAGTTTGTTTTTAAATTTCTTGTCTGCAAATAAAATTTTGGGCTATTACTGGGAAAAAAAAAATGTCTGAAATTATTCCATTCTCTGTGGGATGATCTAATCTGTGCTTGTCCTACATTATCTTAGTCCAGCTAACTTTTGCTTTGCCTGCAGCTTCCAATATCTTTGTGGGCATAGAGTAGATGGTTTTGGCGGAGGAAGAATTGTTTTTTTTGTGGACAGTTAACTTAGTTACAAGCTAGAACAAATACTTCACCCACACAGAGAAAATACTGTATTCATTCAGAAAATATAGTTACATTCATAAGTAGTTTGCAATCCTTAAGGTGAGCTGGAAAAAAAAAAAAGGCTTCTTATGGTGGCAGTGTTATCAAACTACAGACCTCTGCGATCCACTGGTTCTGTGCACAGGGGCAAGTTGATAGTTGGCAGTTCTGGTTGTTCCTGGGACCGATATCAAGGGCAACAGTAAAACTGAATAGTTCCTTTTAGAATCCTGGTGACGTATTTCAGGCAAACTTAGAGCCTTTAGAAAGCAACTAATTGGTTAAAAATGATGCAACAGCTGAATTAAGCTAATTAGTAGTTAAAACAATTTAACATGGATGATGCTTTAAAATGTCTGTTGTCAAATCTGTTCTTGAATAGCTCAAGTACAAAGGTTTCTCTAAAGGCCTTTGAGGACTAAAGTAGAAAGGAGAATAAAGAAATGGCAGGAATGAGCCATGGACGAGTTCTGCAGCTGAAATAAGCCTGTGCAGAAATAATGGTAGGAGCGGGAGTTCTGAGCTGCGAAAAGAAAAAGCTCACTTGGCAGGCTCGACCTAAGCAATTACAAAAAAAGTGGGCTGGAGATTTTTTTTTTATAACATCTAATTATGGGGTGTGGTGGCTGCACTTATATTAAAGGCTGAAACTGTGTTTTTTGTGTGTGTGCACAGAGAACAGGGAAGCGGCAGCTGAACTACCAGCTGCTACGGCAAGTGGAGGCTTTGCTAAAAAGAGCTTCCTTCTTTCCCTGTCTTAAATGGTCCCTTACCAAATCACTTCATCGTGACTAATGATGGACCAATTAATGGTTGGACTCAATGATCTTGAGGGTCTCTTCCAACCAGACGATTCTATGACTAAGTACATGGGTTTCAAGTTGAAGCTAAACTGACAGAAGAGCCAACAGCTTCTAGCAGAAGCCCTTAGACTGTACAAGTCAGTAAAAACGCAGGTGGGCTCTGTCCAGCTCCAGCTACCCGGGCTGCAGGTAAGTGTGCTGTGCCTGGTGGGAGGGCCATTACCACCAGGGGAGAAGCAAACAGTAACCTCGCTGTTGTGAAGAGGTGGAGGAGGCAACACACCAAATGCTTTTATAGGCAAAAAATTATTAATGCTATTAGTTTGTTGCTTCTTTCTTCTGTTTTTTTAATTCTGCTTTCTTGTGAAGCCTAGCACTCACTACAAAATGCGTATGGGCACAATTCACGTCTAAAATTTATGTTTGTTTTTTTTAAATGTTTGCCACAGCAGCACGTTTTGACCACTTCTGTTGCTTTTTTTCGCTAAGCATATTGGGTATGCTTGCTTCTCTGCTTGTTCTAGACAAATTCATTCTACCTTGCCTTGAAGTTTTAATTATCTGTACTATGTGTTAGGATGAGCATGCTTATAGATCTTGCCCCATCTTTTGTGGCCACTTTGCTGACAAATCTCAAGTGCTCTCCGAAGTCAGAGTTGAAGGAATTGGGAAGTAGTGTTTTTTGTCCCACCCAGCTTCTCAAATGCCAGTGTTAAAACCTGAAGACTCATAAACTGAATTCATGTTGGGACAGTAAAAAAACCCTGATACTAGTTCGCTGCAGACACACATCTCCAAAGGCAAGGGTCGGGTGGTGCTGAAGCACCACATAGCTATGCCTCCTTCCTCCCATGTCATAAAAAAACCCACATACACTTTTTCAGTAAAACACTACCCTACACTTACCAGTTCTGAAGAATGATGGGGGAGTTGCTCTACGTTTCTGCTTCCCCTTCCCTCCCACTGTACTGATAGGACAAGTGCCACCTTGTAAAGCTTTGACAGCTGAAAGCTTACCTACGAAGTTATTAACAGAGTATGTATGTAGAAGGGAACATACTTCTACGGAACCATGTTAACAGTGACATTGCTTCCGTTTTCCGTAGACTTTTATTAACTATTTCAATTGGTTTTCACATTCTATTCATAAAGCAGCAAGCATCACTTTTGGCATGCAGAGAGATTCCCTGTACAGCTAAACAAGGACAAAGCAGTTGGACTTTAAATCATGTGACCCATATTTTAAATTTTATACACCTCTGAAGAGATTACTCAAGTTAGAAATACTTAATTTAAAATGACTATTGTACAATGGAAATCACTTATTCACAATATTCATAGTTATTTCATTCTTTATTTACAAAGTACTATCCTGAGAAATTTCTATTAAGCTTCAATTTGAGCGAAGTAGTTTATGTATACCTAAGTAACAACAGTTACTTAATGTAAGGAAAAATGCCATTAGAGCACTACAGAAATGGCTCCGCATGTTGCTCAAACGACTGTCAAGTCTCCTGCTGTGGTTCTGGTGGTTCTACAGCTGATGGATTTGACTGAGGTGGCTCAACTCTATTTTCAAGAGGTGGTGGTGGTGGTGGTAAAAGTCCGGGTCGTTGAGGTGGATAGTGAGGATAAGATCTCATTGGAAATGGATTTCTTACTGTGAGAGAACCAGAGTAGTCCAGTTAGCATCAATCACAACAGTGAACACACACCCGCTCCTTCTACCCCACATATCTTACTGCTCAGCAATGGCCTACCGACATGTAGAAGTCACCAAGTAGGCCTAGGCTAAGTGTTATGCCCCAAAGAGACAAAGCAGCTAGGAAGGAGGAGGACACAACCATCACTATTCTCAGGAGTTACCTGTCACAGGTCACAGCAGCAGCCACTGGTCGGTGTCTGCTAATGGGCTGCTGCTGCTGCCACCATCACCTCTGCTCTGATGCAGCGGCCCTTGGAGGTCACACATGACAGATACTTTGGAAGATAACCATTTAATTCTCCACAGGTTCATCAGAGACAGCAAGAGGCAGAAGCAGCCCTTCAGTCTGACACTTACATCTTGCTCCACTAACCCAAACTCCAAGGAAAAACAATTAACAATTAATTATGTCCCAAATGCATGCTTTTGTATGGACACTAGCATACCTCAAAACTAAAGGATGAAACTTTACGATTCATATATGATGCAACATCATAGGAGGAAAAGGATTAGGGTAAGCATCTACTTGCTTTCCTACCCTAAAAAGGAACCCTTTAAATGCTGAACAGTATGTGTATATGTATTTTCCAGCCAAAGCTAGCACTCGTAAAAACATTATCGATATGAGTAACCGTGATGAAGAAAGAGTACAATGCAATTAACCTTCAAAAGAGATAATCCCAGTTAGCTGAACTGAGAAGCAGTACGTGCAAATAAAGATTTTCAGTGCTCACCCAGTGTGGTAACTCACTCGCTACCCGCACAAAGCACTCATGTTCATCAACTTGAAGTAAATGCTGGCAAAAGGTACGTACTTGGCAGTGGAGGGCGTGGAAGCCCCAAGTCTCGTACTGGAAAACATTCACGTGGTCCATACATGCCAGCAGGAGGAGGGGGAGGAAAAGGAGGTCCTCGTCTCATGAAAGGTGGTCTAGGATCCCCAGGCATCAACGGAGGTCTGACTGGAGGGAAAGGTGGGGGAGCAAAACCTGAACTGATGGCTTCACTTTCAGATGCCAGCGACTGATCAGGTAGTGAGTTCTGCAACACAATGAAAACATGGAAGTTAGCTTAGGGAAAGGCGTAAGGAGAGGGAACCTCTCCAATCCCATCAGGCCCACTCAGATGTAGGCTGTCACATTAGCTAACAGCTAGTTCCAACTCTGCATTAGCTACGGCATAATCCTGAGCGAGGCTATCTATGTGCACTGCCCATCAGCTTGACCAGTTTCATCTTCTGGGTTACCACTGGTTTTCAGCAGGGTTTATATTAGTCATATAACAAAATTAATCCACAGTAAGTGCTGTGATAGAAGAATACAGAGAATTTTATAGTTTGGACTGTACAGTGCAATGTAACTTGACCAACATACTACAGACACATTTTCCGAAATATTTTGCAGAAAATTAAGGTTTCTTTAAAGTTTCTATGTAGCTACTTACACTAAGGTTAGAATGGTCTTTCATCCCATTTCCACTTGGTTCTGTTCGTGGGCTATTTTCTGAAGATGTTTGTCCATCTGCATGCAAACGTCAAACAAGTTACTCAGTGCTGACCTCCTTCTCTCCACTGATTTCAATTTTTCTGAAATCAGGATATATAGGCAAGGAAAAAAAGTACTGCCATACCAAGCAACTGCTCTGCAGACAACCAAGGAACACAAAGATATGCTTCAGTATTTTCTCCAACTTCTGTACAAGTTGTACATGAATTATAAGGATGTAGCTTTTAGTTTTGTTTTTTTTTTTTTGGTTGGTTGGTTTGTGGCTTGTTGGGGTTTTTTTTAGCCATTACAAGTGCATTTTTCTAGCGATACATTTTAACATCACTGTGGCAGTTCCATTTTTCCACTCCCTTCTGCTAATACTTTATTTCTTTGGTAAGTCCCCACTGCAAAGTTGGAGCCTGGATTTCAATACTGTGAGACATGTTGCTGCTCTGAAGTCAGATGGTGTGCTGGATGGCTTTTGACTTTTTACTTGTTGGAGGCTTTTTTGCTCTTTTCACAAATACTCACCCAAGTCTAGTGAAATTATATGCCTCTAAAAAGCAACTTTCACATATGCTTAATGACCTGCTCAACGCTGGCAGCAAGGTTATGCAAACCTTCGATTCCATTAAGCGGGTTTTGAACTGCCCAAGAACTGAATACAGCTTTTTAAATTCTTTTTAGTTGTTGCTTGCCAGAAGCTGAAGAAAAGGGTAAAAATGGATGCAACAAATGAGTGCAAAGACAGTGCACCTCTCCTGTACTTCAGTCAGCATCCAGGTGCTAGAAGAAAGACCTCAGTGGAACACAGAGTATTAGCAGAAGTGAAACACAGAGAGGATTGGGAAAAGGGGAGGAAGGTGAGCGGCTGTACAGGAACAGAATTGTCTTGCAGTAGAGAACCGCTCCCTATAAAACCTGAACCTTCAACCTGAACCAGAATTCAGCATTCCCAGTTCTCACATTATGACACCAAGTAACAAAGGTTTTCTCTCCTATCGCCAGAAATGGGGCAACAAAGATGGAAACTTACTACTAATTGTATGAGTAACTGAATACAGGGTGGCCAAGTTTCTGGTTTGAGTTTAATGGCTTCAGCCTAGCTGATCAATCAGACACACGTGACTTACCAGGCATTAAATAAGGATGAAAACTGCTTAATAAGTATTAAGGCTTTAAGCTCGTAACTATTTCAGTGATAAGGTTTAAGTCACCAAAACTAAAATGACTTTTGCCAAGTATCACAAACTAGAATTTACATAACTGGCCGATTTAAAACAAACAGTACCTGGGTCAGTGAAATGTGTGATTAAGTTGGGGGCAACTGCACTGCGAACTACAAAAAGTTGCAAGTAAACAGTATGAAGGAGGAGACCTCAGCACCTTCTAGTTCAGTACGCAAAGCCAGTGGATATCTGAAAATTTTGCTGTTATTCTTTCAATCTTACTGACTCTAACTCTTTCTAACTTTACCAAATGTGGCATGGAAATGCAAGAAAAGGTTTGTAACATTTTAATGTTGTGGCGAGCCTCATGGGAGGGCTCAAGGCCAATCGTGAATAGTTAGCATACAGAGCAGTGAAGGTGGACAAAAAAGAAGAAAAACCTCATTTACTGAATCCCATCCACCCGACAGAAAAGATTGCTATTGTTGATAACAGGGAAAGACTGCATCAAGGGTAGCAAGTGTTAAAATGTTTTTACACAATGGAACATCAGGTCTGTGGTAGCTATAAAGCTGTCCTCTTCCCATGGACATATAGTCAATCTATACTGAGATTCTCCATTTGACAGTACTGTGGAAGCAACTCCCACCTGTTTTATCAAAAGACTGCGCATTGTAAGATCGTAGTTCTGCTGGTCCAGAAAGCCTTCCAGTATTTGGAGGATTAGGGAAAAGTCTTTCTTGTCTTCGAGGAGGAAGAACTGGATCAGTGTAAGGCTCACCTAACATTGAAAAAAAAAAAAAAAGAAAAAAAATATCACAAAATGGGTCAGTGAAGATTTATTCCCCCCATTCCATGTAATTTTAGACCAGCAAAATTCTCTGGATATCTTATGCTCTTGCAAATATCCAAAGTGACTATTAATCAGGGTGAGCAAACGAATCTTAAAAAACCCCGAACATAGGAATCCCATTAAGCGTGTACTACAGTTTATGTTTCTAAGGAGCTGCAAAACAGTAAGTTCACTGGTTATGGGCTTAACATACAGTAGAATTTTTAAAGTTACAATTGCCTAAATTCTAAACAGTGGGGCCTTGAAACAAAGGCTTACCATAGCAATGAAGGGCAAAGGCAAAATAAGGTACTATAGTTTTAAGCCGTTCTTAGGCAAGAGTGGTTTTCTGTTACGTTTCACAGTGTTGTGATGTGTTTACACCAACTTCCTTGCATCAGATCTATCAATCAATCACGCAGCTACGAGACAAACTGTATCAGTCAGATCCAAGCGCACAGATGGGGTAAGAACACAGCTCAGGTCAAGGAAACAAGACTACCTCTCTGCAGTATCCTGTCAATAGACCAGGTTTGGTAAATGAGAAACTGCATCCTGAGTGGACTTTGAGTTTTATAATCAGGCTTTCATACAGATGTGTAGCAACTACAGTATTGCTTGCTGCACCTGATAATTGAGGTATTTTAGTCTGTGCATTTTATCCAATTGTCAAAATTTTTGTAACTTGTAGCGTTTTTCCTTCTTTATTACAGGTATACAGGAAGGTTGTCCTTCCCCCTGCATTGTTTACTTGACAAGTATTAGAACCCTCTTTGATTCATCTCTGTCGTCTTTGAGTGATAGCATGAAATGCAGATTAGCTGAAGAAGTGGGTCAAGACTGATTTTGTTGTTGTTAATTATCAAAGAGGCAGTATCAACATGAAAATACATACTGAACAGGATGACTGTACCACAGTACTCCTGTACTATTAATATAAATGCTTTTTTGAAAAGCATAGTGTTTTTCAACACTAGCTACCTTTTCTTTATTTATTTATTTATTCATGGCTAATGTGCCATTAAAATTTTTTACTTTCTCAGATCTTTTATGAATTATCCAGCTCAGACAGGTCTCTTGGTGCACTAAACAAACTCCCAGTAAAATGATGAAACTGAACAGTTGATTGTATACTGCCAGTACCAACATATATTTAAGAGATAGCACAGAAGAAATGCAAGTGGACTGGACCATTCAAGAAAAGGAAAAAACTACTATTAAAAAAACCTTTCCAGTGCAGTTGCACATGCAGTTCCAAGAAATCATTTCATATTTTTAAGCAAAAAATACTTCAATATATACACTGCAAGTCAGTAACTCCACTTTTCCATAGATACAGTAGCTGAGCAGATTTTTATACCTGGTGGATGCAGAATTATCCTGCGTTCTCTGTCCCAAGGAGGAGACAGGGATCCTGTATCTGATGGTGGTCTGTGGGGATCAGTTAATCTATCAGAACTCAGCTCTCCTCTTTTGTTACCAGCTTCATACATGGCTGTTGGTCCTCTGGATCCTAATCAAAGAAATCACATAGCTATTTACTCAGGTATTTCAAATCTTCTATTAAGGCTTTCTTCATTAAGTCTGTAAATAGCAAAATAAATCACGGAATGCCAACACTGTCTAGATATGAGAGGCACATGGCTCCACAGTACTCTCCAGCTGTTTGCTGATGACCAGTTATGTTTACTAGAAGCGTTTAAAAACGTTTGTTTGGAATGAAAAAGTCTTAGTTCAACAAGAGTGCAATCTAGAGTATCTGCAATTTTTTTTTTTTTAATAATCATTTTAAGAGTTTCAGTTCATTTAAATTAGAGAAAATAATGCTCTCACAGTAAGTCTTCTCAGTGCTAAAAAACCTGCTGCTAATCAAACTAAAAATTAGCACACTGAAAGTTAATACTCTCATCATAAGAAAACATTCACATGATATCCGACACTCTTCTGGTTCTGTCTAATGCTTTATTTAAAAAAAAAAAAAAAAAGAAAAGAGAAGAGAAGACCAGGTCAACACATAACCAAGAGCAAGAGAAACTGTAACAATGAGTGATTTTAGGTTGCAAACTTCCTTTAAAATAGATTTGGTCTGAAAAATGACAGAAATACTGAATTCTGGTATTGTTCTCTAATTCTCTGTCCTAAAATTCAACCTAAAATTTGAAGCCATTTCGTGTCTTGTGCAACGTGAGATGAGCACTATAATTGCTCTGTAGCTGGCATTACTTAAGCACATCATTTCTTTAATCTGCCCAAGTTACATTAGTGCTCCATTGTGAAATGGGCAGTAGTTACACCTTTGCATAGTCTCCTTCCTTGCTAATACTGCATCCTGAAATCCAGTTTTCACTCTTCGTCACCAGCAACAGCTGAGCTACAATTTAAAGATACATTGGACAGCTCAGTTTCATTACTTTCTCTATACAAATAAATTGTCAAGAATGATTTTGCTTGTGTGTATATTACAGTCGAACGTCCAATCTCAAGCTTTTCTGACTTAGAAAATGAACCAGCTTTCATATGCACCTGGACATACTTTCTATAAAGGATTAAAGTAAATAAATAGTCCATGCTGGTCTTTTAAGAATCAATTCTGATTATTGAAATCCTTATAAAAGAGACATTCAGACACTTTTCCCATGAAATACGTACAAGTTTCAACAGATGTAACAGTAGTAGTAAATTAAATAGTAGCTTCTTTATTACCTGTAAAAGATGCTGAACTCCACTCTAGCATTTATCTACACTATTTCTACCAACATCAAAAATATGAAGGAACAGTGTTTTTCTTCCCTTACAACCCACGACACCACAGCTTGCTTTCACCTACTTCTCAATCTCTGAATTTTACTCCTTACACACAACCTTCCCAGTCCCTTTTATCACTAGGGAAGAAACTATCTCCATGTGTAACGACTGCCTCAAATTTAGAAGAAAGGGAGGAAAACAATTTATTGAATCAGTAACTTTCTAATATCATGACACCCAGTAAAACTGTCTCATGTTTTTGACAACACAGGTACTCTCTCCTTCTCTCATTGACTGTAGCCCAATGAGATGGAAGTGGCAGTATTCTTTCTTCAGAAAGCTAATCAACTCGTTTACTTTAAAATCGTAAGTTTATTTCAGCAGAACTCTACTTGTCCAAGAAATAAAACAAGACTGACTAAGTTTGGCTTTTCACTTTTCCCAATCAATGCTTCTAATTGCTGAACCTACTAGTAACAAGTAAATTTTCCACTGTACTGTTACATATTAGACAGCTTTAGAAGCAAATTGAAAAACAGGAAGAGATTGTCCAATTAACTGTTTATATTGAATTGGTTGTTTTAATACTTTTTGTCACCAGCAAGAGGAAAAGGTGTGACAGGTTTACAGTAGAGGAGAGAGAAATCCAGAACAGATACATTTTCAAGTTTAAGAATTGTACCTCTTCCTCCTCCTCCACCTGGAAGCATAGGTGAAAGCCTTAAAGGACCCTCCAATAAAGTTGGAGGGGAAAGAAAAGCTCTTGTTTCAGATGAAGGCCGGCCCATTGGTGAGGGTCCATATGGGGAATGCTCTGGAACAGTTAAAACAAAATACTCAAGTTCACAATATTTAGTTTAGCAAACTGTATTCAGTAATTAACTCCCCAGGTGAAGTTTAAAACTAAACTCTGTAAGTGAAATGAAAATTTTGCTCTAATTACCATGTATGTCATATTCTCAGTCTACTCTCATTGATACTACAAACACTCTCAGTTTCAATAAAATACTGAACAGGACCTAGAATCACTTATGACCCAATTATTTTTTTAAATGACTGTTATTTGTACATACACATGGCCAAGACAGTTTTCAAACAATTACATATGTGTGGTCTCAGGAAACAAAATCATAAACCAAAACAATTAGGTTCTGTTTTACAATTCAATACTGTACCTCTGCCAAATGGTCTAACTGGAACATCAAGAGCATAAGCATCTTCTTCTAAAAGGTCAAGTTTAAATTCTGCTTCGGTTAATCTGCAAATAAACAACAAAAGTAGTGAATAACCAAGAAGTACAAAAGTTTTACTGGACTGCATCATTTACTGCTAGGCTTTCTACTTACAGGGTTAATGAACTGAGGTATTTTATTTGCTAAACAAAAAGGCAAAGGATGTCACAGAACTCTGAACTTTGAATTCCTGAAAGTATTTCTCTATGCTGCTGCATTTAAACTGTAATTCAGGAGTTGAAGTGGCATGTTGGATGTCACAAGTCCTAACATAACCTTATTCTTATGAGTCCTCTAAATTGCATTCCAAGTATTAGTGAACTTCACAAATAAAGGTTCCTCCCAACCACTACCACCTGATCTGTTAGCTCAGTATTAACTTCTGGAGATAAGCTGTAAAATCATTAGGTAACCATGACATCTGGATGATACATGCTTCTTTAAAACAACCAACCAACCCACTCCCCAAAACCTTTGAGTTCTAGTACTGCATTCTGCTTCCTTCCTGAAATACTTCAATACTTCACATAGTTCTTAAGTTCTTACTTTCTTGCATGTTATCATTATTGGAATGCTCATATGGCTCCCTTTCTTTCAGAACTCCAGTGGAACACTGTGCTCTCTCTGCCCTGTTTGGGCCACATTTGATTAACACAGGTCTAGAAAACACCAAATTATATAAATTCTAAACATATTCACATATCATAGAATCATAGAATGGTTAGGGTTGGAAGGGACCTCAAAGATCATCTAGTTCCAATCCCCCTGCCATGGGCAGGGACACCCTCCACTACACCAGGTTGCCCAAAGCCTCATCCAACCTGGCCTTGAACACCTCCAGGGATGGGGCATCTACAACTTCTCTGGGCAACCTGTTCCAGTGCCTCACCACCCTCTGAGTGAAAAATCAAATATCAAACTGCATTTGTTTAGAATTAGATCAGGACTGCACTTACTTTTGTCTGTTATGTGCATTTTCTTTTTTTATATCATTGAGGTGTCTTTCAGCTGCTCGGGCTGTCAGCTTTGGGGAGGGAAAAATATCAGATGCTTAGATATTGCTATTTATGAATTAAACACTTCATAAACGTGACAGGTCCTAGATTCAATACGTTTTTTTTTTCCTATCTAAAATGTGTGGACTGTATTTTCACAAGATGTGACTTGTGTATAAAGCATATGAAACGGAGCCTCACGTATGTCATTAAATGACATTAGAAGCTCTAGCACTCAGAATTTTGAGGAATGATATGGCTTCCCTGCAGGTTCTTAAAACTGCAGAAATTAAATTCTCTGGCTATAGCTGCTTTGAAGCACCTACAGAATATCTACAAGATTTAAAGTCTCATATTTTATATAAGAAATCTTATTTTAAAATCATATAGTTAAAAGCTGTAAAATTATGACCACTAAGTGCCATCGCTTTTAAGAGGACTCTATCTTATACAGACCGCTCTGTGAAACTGAAAAATGTATTAGTCAGGAGATATTTTAAAGTTTTCTGTTTGGAAAAAAAGGTAAAAATGGATTTTGTAGCAACGTTCTTAGGAAGCTGTCAATGGAACATACTGTTCTCACAGGACATAATGTCTTCTATTAGCAGATAAAAGGACTGAATTACATCCAGGGAAAATATTAAAATGGCATTGAAACAAGGCCAAAAGCTTTTATTATTAGCAAAACGTCACACATGTTAAACGACAACATGTTATTCCAGCAGATTTATTGCTACAGCAAATAGTACTGTAATATCATTCTCTGGTGCTCATAGGTATCTGGCTTAATTATTCCAACTATTTTATATGATAAAAGTATGCTTAACATGCTTTTGTATATTTCTGCAAGAAATCTGTATGTTTAAAGGTGACAGGTTAATTTTGATTTTCTGTTCTCAATAAGAAACAAAAAAGTGACAAAGCAAGCTATTCAAGGCATGGAAGATACACAAAGTTCAGAATATTCAGTATTTGGAACTTACCCAATTATCATGAGCTTTTTTCTCATGTGAAGTAATCTGTGAAAGAGAGATTCATTACATCATTATTCATCTAAAAAAGAAAACTGAAGACTGAGTATACGCTCTTATTTGTAAACTTAATGGTGTTGGTAATTTATAACAAGACATCTAAACTTAAAATTTCACTTTTTAATAAAGTTATCTGGTGATCTCTGCTATGAAACTGTGTCAGTCAAAACCAGGTAGCATAAAGGGGGGTGGGGGGAAGGCAAAAAAATCACCCAACAAAACCAAGCCAAATACAGTATCACAGCCTAGCTGAAAGTGGTATTTCAGTTGCAAGAACATTCCTCCTACTTGGACTGGATGGTAAGTAACACAAGGCACATACCTGATTCTGGTAAGAACGAATGGTTCTTTCTAGCTCTTCTTCAAGGTCTTTTGCTCGCTGTCTGTAACAAAATTACACTGTAAATGACATTGTAACAAAACATGGAGGAAAGCAATCTTAAATACAGTATCAGTGAAAATTCTAGGCCCTAGATTAGCACAAACAGGGATGTAAAAAAAGAACAGAATCAAAAAACTCAGCATCTCCCCAACTTTTCAGTGGGCTGCGATATGTTTCCAATATAACGGATCTCCCTCCACATGTGCTCTAACAGCCAGCCTCATCCAGCTCAGCAAATGCACCAACGTGGCTGGAGCATCATGCTGTCACAGGCTATCACAGTCAGTCCTGAGGGACAGTCACCTGCACTAAAGTTATTTCAAGACCACAGAAAGTATGATGTCACCTTTGCTGCCAGCTGCTCTGTGCACATACTCTCTAGGTCCTACACTCTCTCAGCAGGTGGCCCAAAGACACATTCGCTGTTTAGTTACACTCCATGTGCAATATTAATATTCTCTTTAAAATCAGAATGTGAACTTTGTAGACATCTTAAGTAAATCAAGAAGAGTGAATTCTGTCTTCCTGTATGAATACTGAAGAACATCTATCTACAAGAACTTCACATTCTAGTGAAAGAATTACTCTAATTAACTCTTCAGGAAGCACTGTTCATCAGTATCGTTCAGTTAAGAGTCACCACTCCCATAAACGTTTAAGATGGGAAAATATACCTTACAGATTGAAGAATTATTATGCCATAGTTTGAGAAACCACAGAAACAAACCAGAGGTACACAGTTGGTGAAACACAAAACAGAGCAAAGCAGTTAAAGAACAACTACAGAAAATATTCCCACATCACAGCGTTTTAGTAAACAGTACTATTTGATAAGCTTAGAGATACAAAAATACTCTATATAACATAAATACATTAGGATCCACAGGAAAACTGAACATTGCATTTATTTCACAGCATTCTCTTAACTTTGTATTTTTATCTCTGTCAAGCAAAGGGAACCAGATTAGAGATCCACTTCTACCATTCCATTAAAGCTGACATGTCAATACAATTAGCATTCTAATGGAAAAACAATTGCTAGTTGCTAATGATCTACTCAAATTTTTTAACAAAGAAAAAAATACATACTTCCTTAGTATGTATTCTTACACACAAACACACATACAAACAACAAAGAAACAGAAGAAAATATATTCACTTCTGCTGGTGTTTTTATTAATTCTCTACTGCCTTTTGTTCACTTTGGAACAAGTGATTACAGCAACAAAAAACTGCATACCTGTAGCTGTTTAGCTCTTCAGCAGCATGATTAATTTTTTCATCTACCTTAGAAAGCTTTTCTTCCTTCTGTAGGCGTTCTCTCTCTTCTACTGTCAGCTTCCTTTAAGAAAATTCAAAAGCTACGGTTAATTCTGTTTCAAGTCAACAATTTTGTAGTTGGTCTGTCAAAAAAAACTCCAATTATTTAGATATGATGAATACATGGCATTTATCCAGATAAAGAGTTTTACAGGCAACATATGAAATCGCATAAATAGCACTAGTTTGTATTCATATTGGTTTATTAAGTTCATTAACTGTTCTACATAAACCAACTGGATTACCACTATTCCCAAAAGGAATCTGGAAGACAATCTATATTCCCAAAGAATATTTCCATTTGCAGTGGTGGGAAGCAGCCACAAGTCGAATCAAACAAACTAAAACCCAAACTACAGTAACTTTCAGTGATCTGTTCTGGTACTTTTTTACATCTGAAAGTAATTTTCTGGAGAAGAAAAAGATGGTTATTAGTTATTAAAAAAAAATTCTTTTCAGGTCCTTCTCTTTCTATGCCTTATCGGTCACTACAAAAAAGAAAACCCATACTTCAGACAACAGGTTATGCACAAGGTAATTCTGCAGAACACACAGGTACTACTGCTGCGTAACAGCTCTCGATGGATAAATGGGGCACTTCCCTGTAAAGAGCAGTCCTTAGCACTCAAACTAAATCATTGATCTTTTGAATGTGATTTAAACTTCTTTTCTACTCATCTTCATTTCCCACTTTCCTATTTCTCGTTTGAATGCACCTAGCTTTTTAAAAGATGCCTTGTTAATACTAATAGCCTCTTTTATTCTGCTGTCTCATCATGGCAGCTTCTCCCCCTCCTTTTAGTCTTTTCTAAAAGCTTTGATAAGCAGCACGCATTCGCAGAGCTTCAGAAATATCACGCACGCAGTCTGCAAACACTTTTCCTTTTTGACTGCCCATCATAGCTTTTTTTGATAAGTTCCTTCCCGCTCTGCCCTGCCGGCATTTTTAAAAATCAAATGTTAATGTAGTGGATTTCCAGGTTTTGTTGTGTCTACAAAGATGTCAAATATCTATGTAAATATATACACTACAGAGCAAATTACTGAAAATAATACGTCAGAAAGGTCCTGCATACTGCTCAGTACAGCATCAAGACTTGTGCTGCTTCTCTTGCTGCCTTCAAGATTACATCTGCTCCTTGAAGAAATAATTTCAGGCTAGGAAAACTGTAGTTTTACCATCATGCTCTAAAATGACGCCCCCTGCTCGCTCCACACACACGCTTCTGTAGGTTACTACATGCTCCATCCCATCCTAATCAACTGTATTTCTAGTCCTTTACACAATTTCTGATTTCAATCGGAAAGTCATAATCTCTATCATCCTGACTATGAGGCAGATAGCACAGTCCTCATATTCTCTGTCTCGCAGAGGAAAGCATGATTCACAGAAGTTCTATGTTGCTTACTGATAATAGTTAGCTTGCCTATGTTTTAACTCTAAGCTTAGTTTTACATAGAGCATTACTCTTCTGATGGCCTTACTAGCTCTCTATCTGTATAGAATATACATCACAGTTAAAGCAGCTACTGATTATCTTTCAGCAACTTTGACAGCCGTATTACATCATATCTTAGTAAAAAAAATTAAAAAAAAAAATCAAGCTTTCCGACTTTACCTACCTTATTTCATAGATTAAAAATTTATTACTTCTTGTTTTATCTTCACTTCTGTATTTGCTTGTGGAAGTACAAATTAGGAATGCCTAAAATAATATACCACTACTTTCATGGAAACAATTTCTATAAAATTAATGTGATCACAAATGCACATGAAGGTGTAACAGAACAGAGTCTTCACAATTCAGAACACTCTGGAAAGCAGTATTCAAATTTTCAAATCAAAGAGTTACAGTCAAATCAAACAGTAAACATTGGATATAAAAAGAGGAACAGCACCTGTGCAGTTTCATTTCATTTTCTTGATAAAGCTCAGTCATTACTTTAAGTTTCTGCTGAAGCTTTTGAACTTCGTTTTCCAAATGCTCATTTTCAGACTGCACGGAAGCTTGTTGACTTTGAAGGTTTTCTATACGTTCTGTCAAATTTAGAGATAATTATACTGGGACAACATACAATTTACAAAATTAAAATATTTGCAATATTTTAGTATATATAACGTCTCTAAAAGCCTTTGATTCTCTGTTGATTTAATAATTTAAGCAATAATATGTTAATATTATTAATAAAAAAAATTTAAAAATTATACATCTTGAGAAATAGTATTGCTCCTTTTGATGGGAAATCAGCAACTACATTCTCTATCTGCCAAAAAGTGCAGCTCTGAGTGCAATATCTAGCCTTTGCTCCGAATTGTACAGCTTCTTTGAAAACAATGCTGTTTTGTAATTCACAATGTAAATTTTCATTTAGGGCTCTTATTAATGTAATTATTCTACTAAAGGAGTAAAATCGGTACCATCATACACTCTTGCAGATTTACCCACATGAGGTCTTGCTGAGTAGCCTGAAGGGATAACTCAGATTTGACAAACTACATTTCCAATTTAAAAATCGGTCACCTTTCTTTTCCTACGTACTACTCTTACTTCAAGAGACATAGAAAGCTTCAAGTAACTTTGTATATCTCTGTGGAACAGAGTTACAATCAATTTGGAAAACACACTAGCACAGAGTCAGTTTAAAGGACTACCAAAAACTAAAATCCACAGTTTTACTGAGCAAATAAACAAAGCACAGTCATTCAAATGTGATGGCTACTCTGCCGGCCGTCATCTATGAAAGCGATGGCTAATTACAGGCTTCAATCAAACTAAAGTGGCAGTGTTTTCATTTCCTAAGGTTTAATTCATTGTGTCCTACAGAACAAAGAGGGGGTAAAAAGAGCAAGATGCTTTTAGGTTCAATTCTCTAAATGCAGTATTTTTGATTTTAAAAAGTATCGAGCTTTCATCCATTACAAACTAATTACAATTAAGCTATCATTTTAATAGATGGTTTTAAAATTTATATTAAAACTTCATTGTTTCATGCCCAGAAATTACGTAAAGAAGGTATCATATATTTAAAATACATGGGCAAAGTGATGTTAACAAGATTCTATAACTTAAAAGTTATAGAATGCTCCAACAGAGTGCAACAAAATTTGCAAATGGTGCTTTAGCAATTGCAATTGCTTTACCTCTAAAATGAAATACTTAAAACAGCTAAGCAACTTAATCTCAAACAGGCATTTTAAAAATCAAGTAGAGCTATTAATGTAAACTTAATTCAGTTTTTACTGGAAGTAATACTTACAGCCTGTAACATCATTTTACAAAACCAGCATCTTACTAATCTTAAAGGCAAAATAACATTTAATTACCTGTAAGTTCTCCTTTAGCTTTATTTTCATCAGACAGTTTTGAATACATTTGATCTCTTTCTGTTTCCAGGGTCTTTAAACAAGCATTTAACTATAATCAAAATTTGAAAAAAATGAGCATTTTAAGATTACCAGAAACTGTCAGCATGTAAAAATATCTAATTAAACATTAAAAGATCCCGAACTTTGGGATACTGATATCTATATGCAATTAAACTTACCATAAAAATTGCATATATAGTCCCTCTAAATCATCCCCTTCCATCCACAAGTTTCTTAAAATCACATACCTTTGCAGCATATATCAATTTCTTCACAGTTCGTTTTTGCTGATCATCTGATTGACAGAATAGAATAATACATCACATAAAAAGCACAAAAGCATTTGTGACAGAGCTTACTACTATTATTTTATTTTGGTTTTAGAAAAAAAGCAATCCCCAACATACCATGATAGGCACGGCATCTTTGGAGGACAAAGGAAAAAAACAAAACAAACAAAAAAAACCACCAAAACAAACCACAAGAACAGGGGGAAGGGAGGGGACATGCCTATATTCTAGTGCTTTGTTTGCCAATCAGTCAGACTTTGCTGATGTTAAAAATGAGATACTAACTACACACTGTAAGATTTACTGAGATGTGCCCTACGGTGTAATCAGCACTAGCATAAAAAGAAGCTGCAGCAAGAAGGATGAAGAAAGGCTCTACTGTGCTGTTGTCCTGACGGCACCCACATCTACACCCATCTGATCCCAGTGCTACCATACTGCCTCCAACACCTGCTTAAGGACAAGGAAACAGAAATTAGGTTCGAAGGACCTACAGCGCTACTTCTGGGAGGAACTTCAAGAAGAAATGAAACCAAGGATTCCATCTAAAAATGTTTGGGAATCACTGCTTAATACTACCAAAGGCAAAAGTCATCCTGCAAGAGACTGAGTACCAAGTCTTTACATTGCTCTATGGTAATATGTATGTGCTAGCTATATTCACACTATCCTAACTAGTAGCATAGGTTGTTATTGCAGAGGTGTCCAAGCATCAGTTAACTGTCCAACATTAATAACATGCGTTGAGTTTTGAAAATCTAACTTCTACAAAGCTAAACTTTCAACTTTCCTGGAAGTTTGTTGGTTCTGTATTTCTGAAACATCAATTAAATTAATATTTAAGATGGGAAGCAATACAAACCATACCTAAGTGCTCTCCATTCTCTGTTTCACCCTTTATATCCGTGTCCCAGTGATTATCTTCAGTGTCATCATCTTCTCTTATTGCTGAACTCCAGTCTTTCATCTTCAGTAAGTATTGTGTCAGTGACTAAGAAAAAGCCCACATAAAAAAGCCAGTAAAATAAATACAAGCAATGAGAATGTAGTTACCATTACAATTACTTTTTCAGGATTTCTGTCCTTTAATTAGTTGCCTTAGTAGATTAAGTGATCCCCATATACTGGATTCTAGATCTCCAATATTACTCTATTAAAATACATACCTGCAGGTCAACAGGTGTGCCCTTGTGAAGACTTTTCCGATAGCCAAGCATGAATGCTATTAGCAGGGCTTTGTATATAAGGCACACACATGCAAGAATACATTCCCAACTCCCACACTACAAATTAAAAAAAAAAAAAAAAAAATACAAAAACTCTATCAGAACTAAAAGAGTTTTTGCTTATTTAACGTGCTGGCTTCCAAGGCTATCAGACTGCTCCACTGTGCTGCTAAGCAACCTTTTTTGCTTAGCAGGAAACAAGACATTAGAGGATGGAGACAGCAAACAAAACCCCAAACAGCTTAATGCATATTAAGACAAGGAAAGGTTGTTAGACTTTCTTGGAACTCAATGATTAGCATCAGTCTGAATAATCTTATTCAATGCTAGCTGTCATAATTTACCTTGACTTGACTCTCTTTACTTTTCAATACTTCTTCTAAATCTGCTTTAGATGACTCAAACATTTTCGTTTGCTCGTTTACTTCACTAAATCGTTCACTCCATCCTTCAGCTTCTTGTAAAAGCTAAAAAGGGAAATAGCAGATTAGTGTGATTGTCTATTACAACCAAGAATCAAGGATGAGCAGTACTTGAGCCTGTTATGTATATTATCTATACATAAGCAGAATTTCAACCTCTCATCCATCAGTAAGAATTAACAGTGATAGACTACAAGACAGTTAAACCTCGAGAGTTGAAAAATAAGACTTCTACATTACTGTCCAGTTGCTTTAGCTGCAATAGCTCTACATTGTAATTAGTAGTTAGGATATTTTTAAATATTTATAAGAACAGTTCAGTTAATATTCCACTCAGTTTAAAAAGCCTTATGTGACAATAGCAATGGATATAAAATAGTGACAATTTGTGTAACAGTTACCACCACTGGCAAATGGAAGGAGAGGGAACATTCACTCCCCAATCTGCACATACACTTCTGAAACTGTACCTCTGTCTTTTCAACCTAGAAGAGGTTTCAGTGAGGTAAGGGAAACCCACAAGCTCTTTAGACAGCTATTTAAATTCACGTGGACTTGCAGAACTGTATTATTTCTCCTCTTCTCCTCCATGCATCTTAAAAGTAATTTTTAAATTTTATTTTCAGAAAGCTTCCCTGTCAGTTAATGAAAGTCACAGCAACTGTATGTAATCAACACCTACTAGGATGTATCTCTGATTATCTGTGGCTAACTAAAGAGACAGGTAGATTCCAAGGTTACATTTTACAGACATCCCCTAGTAAAATCTCATTTCACAAAAATACTTTACAGCAGTAAGGGGATTAGTACACTTAAGCACCAGTTTGTTAAAATAACCACTGCAACATATTAACTAATTAAACCATGCCTCCATAGTCTGAGAATGAAATTGAACCGATGCAAACTTCTGTTAAGAAAAAACATGCAGTACAAAAACATGGGATCTAGTACAAAAATTTGTCTTAAAGAGTCTGTCAAAAGAATATTGCGTAAAGTTGCATAATAGGCAACCAGTTTAAAAGCAGTGGATGTACAGAAAGGAATAACTAGGTTGAACGACAAGACCATAACAGCCAGTTAAACTAAAAATAAAACCAGAAAATGGTAGTTAAACAGGGGAACTGCCATGCAAATAGATAAGCAAGCCTGAACATTACTTATTAAAGATAAACCAGAAGGCATAAAACAAAAGGTATGTGACTAGAATTGGATGAACCCCACTTGGCACACAAATGAACCTTTCAAGCAGTAAAAGCCATGTATGAAATTGCAGCATCATGCAAACTACTTATTACTGATAAAACAAAAATACTGTTTATGCTAATACTGCTCAGAAGACATACACAGACAACTACTTTTATCATCAAATGTCATCCTCAAAGGGAAGCTAAACTTTAAGAGATTCCTTCTTCGTGAAGCCAAAGAGAAAATAAATTGACATGACTTTATACACCTCTAAGAATTACAATCAAGAGAAATAGCAAGGATTTGCAATAAGCTGAAGCAATATATATTTCTAATGTTCCTGCAAAAAACGAAGCACAGAAAGTTTGGAGTTAATTAACAGTTCCCTTGTTCAAACTAAAAGGCCCAATCCTCTCTCTGACACATCATAAATCCAAGACAGCCCATCTGGTACAATGTTTCAGCTATGATGTGCCAGAAGATTATGACCCGTTAGTGTAAACGGACAGAGGAAGAAAGCAGTCTAGCTTCTCTGAACAAAGAACACCTTTGTTACCTTTTGAGCATAAGTGAAATTCCATCTTTAAAAAAAAAAGTAAGAAAGAAAAATAAAAAAGGGATATGGATATTCTAATATAACAAACTCACTCACAATGCTTGCAACAACTTCATAAAAGACAATACAAATAAGCAAGACAGGTACTTTCTCTTCTTTCCTTATCAATTTCCATCGACTCTTACCAGATTATTTATGTACTAAAAAGCACAGCAAAATACAATATACACAAACGTTCTAAAATTACTAAAAACTAGTGTAGTAATTCATCCTAAATAATGTGGTTAAGAACTACTATATCCAGGTTATTCTATCTGGAAGGAATGAAAAAAAACCCTTACTTTATCTAGGAACCTGGCAAATTAAGTAATCCTAGGAGTTGTTTTGACTGACTTTTTACATGGTTTTGCTTGATATAAATGATTGCCTATAAAATGCAGAGTAATTGTCAGCATTTAGTATTATCTTACTCTAAGCACTATTTTTTGCTAGAAGGAAAGAAAAAGAAGATTCTTTGCACACACATGCACTTGGATTATTTCTGTTGGAACCCAAGAAGTTACCAGAGGGGGAAAAAAAAAATCCCTATTAAAACTTTGTGTACTGCTTCTCAAAATTTATTACATAAGTGACTGTCACATTTGAAATAAAGCACCAAGACCAGACCTTTCTTCCTCATAGAAATGAACAAAAAGGATCTATAGATTAGACGAAAAAGATTCTTGAAAAGAAAATTATTCTCAAGAAACTTCATCTCACAGTGGTAACACCCAGATCTACTGTTTCTCCACTTGCAGCATCTAATAAAATCACCTTCATTTTTTTTCCAGTCACAAACATGTACTCTTTCTAAAATTAGAGAAAAATACGATGTTTTACTGTT